CTATACAAGCTGGGTGCTGGTGTCTCATGCCTGTAATCCTAGCTACTCAGGAGGCTGAGATCTGAGGTTTACAGTTCAAAGCCAGTGCAGGCAGGAAAGTCATTAGACTCTTAATTCCAGTGAACCACCAGAAAACCAAGTGGCGCCGTGGCTCAAGTGGTAGAGCACCAGCCCTGAGCTAAAGAGCTGAGGGACAGTTCAACCCCCACAACCAACCGGAAAAAAAAAATCTTACAGAAATCGCATGTTTATTCTGAATAAAATAAAATAATTTCTTTTTTTTTTTTTTTGGGTCCGGTCGTGGGGCCTGAACTCTGGGCTTGGATGCTGTCCCTCAGCTCTTCAGCTCCAGGCTAGCACTCTACCACTTGAGCCACAGTGCCACTTCCTGCTTTTTTCTTTTTGCTTATGTGGTGCTGAGGAATCGAACCCAGGGCCTCATGCATGCAAAGCAAGCGCTCTACCACTGAGCCACCTTCCCAGCCTTAAAATAGTTTCTTTATGGATTGCCTGATGTACCTGCCAGTTTTTAAAATGGAAATGCACCTTTCTTACTTCAACAGTACAGGGGCTTGAACTCAGGCCTTCCTGCTCTTGTGTAGTTCCTCTTTTACCCAAGGGACACTACCATTTGAGCCACACCTCCACTTCTGACTTTTTGCTGGTTAATTTGAGATAAAAAGAGTCTCATGGACTTTTCTGCTAGCTTCAAATCTCTGTCCTCAGATCTCAGCCTCCCGAGTAGCTAGGATTACAGGTATGAGCCACCAGGGCCTGGTGATAGAGACTTTCCTTTTTAGACTAAGTGTTTCTCTGCAGCCTAGGATGGTCTGGAATTTGCAATACTTCTGCCTCCACCTCTTGAGTGCTGGGGTTATAGGTGTTTGCATTTATTATTTAAATATTTGATAAAATCTTTCAGAATATGTTGCATGGGAAGAGAAAGAACAAGCCAACCTTCTTCAGTGATTGTATCTGAGGAACAAACAGACCCATTTTACGAGAAGTCTGTTCCTTTTTCCCTGTGGTTCTTTTTCATTGACCATGTAATGTATTTCAGTACAAAAATTCTTAATTATACTTATCAGCCAGCTGGTTGGTGAGGTTTTTTTTTTTAACTGTTTCACTTAGTGCTAAACTTTGTGTGGTAGTTACTGTATTTGTAGCTTAGTTTACTGTAATTTAAAGTAAGTGATAAAGTGTATAGAGGAGTTGAGTACTTGTATTTTTTTACTTAGTGAAAACAAATCTATTGTTTGATTTATTCTTATGAAATACACAACAGTCTTAAAAATGCAGTTCACATTACTTAATTTCTAAATTACTGTGCAGTCACTGTGTGAAATGGCTCCGATGACTGTTATTGTGAAGGTTAAATGAGTCAGCAGTACATGAAACTCTGGGAATAGTATCTGGCTTAGAGTAAATTGCAGCTGAGAGTCATTTCTTTTATGCCAGTCTTTGGTGACCCTGTAGAATTGAAGTACAAGAGAGAGTCCTCATGTCTGGATTTACTTTATGTCTCCCCTGCTTCTTAACTCTCATCACAGACACATGGCATATATTCTTGGGGATAGGAAGCAAATTTTTTTTTTTGTTTTTGTTTTTGGTCGGTTGTGGGGCCTGAACTCTGGGTCTGGGTGCTGTCCCTCAGCTCTTCAGCTCAAGGCTAGTGCTCTACCCCTTGAGCCACAGCACCACTTTCAGCTTTTTAACTGCTTATGTGGTACTGAGTAATCGAGCCCAGGGCCTCATGCATGCAAGGCAAGAACTCTACCACTGAGCCACCTTCCCAGCCCCAAGCAAGTGGTTTTCACCAAAGTCATTATCTGGATTCGTCATGTTTGGTGCTTCTAAAGGCATGTGTAAATCCTGTCCTTAAAATATGGTCTTTTACAGGCATCAGTGGCTCACACCTATAATTCTAGCTACTCAGGAGGCTGAGATCTAGGATCACGGTTTGAAGCTAGCCCCAGCAGAGAAGAGACTCTATCTCTAATAAACCACTTAAAAAAAACAGAAGTGTTACTGTGGCTCAGCAGTGGTAGAGTGCTAGCCTTAAACATGAAGAGGCTCAGGGACAGTGCCCAGGCCCTGAGTTCAAGCCCACAACCACTCCCCACCTGCCAGAAAAAAGATCTTTTTTTTTTATTTTTGGTCGGTCGTGAGGCCGGAACTCTGGGCCTGGGTGCTGTCCCTGAACTCTTCAGCTCAAGGCTAGTGCTCTACCACTTGAGCAACAGTGCCACTTATGGCTTTTTCTGCTTATGTGGTACAGAGGCATAGAACTCAGGGCCTAATGGATGCAAGGCAAGCACTCTACCACTGAGCCACCTTCCCAGACCAAAGTGATCTTTAATTGTAGCAGTAGTGTAAAAGTTAACTGATACCATGGAAAAAAGCATAGATTTGACTTAAATGAACTTGGCTTCTCAGCTCTGCCACATACTGGATACCTATTACCCAGGTCACTGCGTGCATTGGGGTTCTCCAGAGAGATGACCACTGGACATGCATGAAGATGCAAATAGATGAGGGGATTTAGTGGGGAACTGACTCCCCTGATTCTGGAGGCTGAGCAGGCTAGAGGATACCAGGAAACAGGTAAAGTAGTGCAGACCAAGCTCCCACAGGCCTGAGAACCATTCTGCTAACAGTGAAGCCTTCAGTCTAAAGGAAAGCCTCAGAAGTCAGGGGAGGAAGGAGGATGTCCTGGGGAAGGGGCTCTGGTGGAGGTTACTAGACCGAAGGTCAGACAGTTGGGAGTTCTGATTTCTAGGGCAGCTTTAGAAATAGAGTGAATTTGCCTGTCTTCTCTGCCTTTTTGCTCTATTTGGACCTCAGCTTGCTGGGTGGCACTTACCCATGTTTGCGAGGATGGATAGATCCATCTTATTCCGTCCATGGAATTAAATGCCTGTATCTCTTTCAGAAACATTCATAGACATGCCCACAAGTAATGTTTTATTAGTTACCTGGATGTCAGTCAAGTTGAAGTCTAAAATTAACTGTACCTTTTTCTTCCCTACCTGTACAGTTGGTATAATAATATGGTAGGAGGTATCTTTAGCAGGCCATCCATGAACCATAACTTGATGATTTTTTGTGAGCTCTTTTGGATATAAATTATTCAAAAATATTTTGAAAATTTTAATGGATAAAACTGTTAAGTTGAATGAGATACTTAGTAAAATGGATTCATTGTAAAATTCATTTACACAGAATTTTAGTGCTGAAGTTTTTTTCTTGTTTGATTCCTTGTTGAAGATTTAAGTCCACTACTGAGCCCCATGCCCAGTTCTGCTACGGTCTTAGGGCTTCAGATGTTCTCCACTGTAGAACTCCTGCCCTTCCTTCAGAGGGCGTGCTACCATTACCTTGGTCCTGCTAAGGCTTCATTATCTGGGCAGTGATTTGAGAGGAGACACTCGTGGTGACCCCTTTGCTTAAGCAGGAATTGCAAGGGTGGCCTGTGGCCTGCTTCTGAGAAGAGTCATCAGTGAGGGACATACTGGAAGCCAGCAGAACTATGAGATGAAATCAGATTTTAAAAATGTATACAAATTTGTGAGGGTGCTACCTGTTTTATTATGAGTTCAGATACGCTATTTTGTGTAGGGGTCTTTACTCTGTTTAGCACAATCCCAGCATGTAGTGGACACTTACTTAGGTGATAGTGACATCTGTAGGTATTTGCCTTGGTCAGTTTTTGTGACCATTGATACTCTGAGTATGCCTGTGTATGTTAAAGAAAATAAATATTTCTATGAGTCGAGTTCTAAACTGCTATCCTTTAGTCTTTTTCCAGATTATTAGACAGTTGATGTTAAAGTTTTAAAAAATGAAAACAATTAAAAAATACTGTTGCACAGGGCATTTTTAAAAGGAAAAAAAAAAGATAGTAAAAAGCATTACCTAACAGTGTATAAAATGGAAGCCACAGCCAAAGACAAATGATTTTCTACTGCTGAATCATCAGGCTTCATTCCAGTAGATATAACTGGACTTGGTAAAGCTGTAGATAAGAATTGTATTTCAAGCCCAGTGGAAATCTTTCACTCTTGGAGAAATTCAGTGTATATATTTTAAACACTTTTAACAATATAATTTATCAATAATTTTTATTTCCTATAGGTATAATGTGAATACAGATTTTTTATTGGTTTCAAAAGTTTTTATTAAATAGACAGTCCTGTGAGAGAAAAATATAATATATCTTGGTTTTTCTCAAAGTATATTGTTTGTAAAGACCTACATAAATAGCTTATAGTAATTGTGTTCTCATTATATAGAAATTGTGTTTCTAAATGTTTCCAACCCATGTGTCAGGTATCACATTGTACCTTATCAAGGGACCTCAAGGAAATGATTACCAGACAAAATGCAGTCTCTTACTTAAAACGAATTTACATGTTTAAGTAGACCTGAAAGCAAGTAACAGCAAGATAGTTGCTTAGGATCCAGCAGCCTTGCAGGAGTTAAAAGTAAAATTTATCAGACATCAATAGTTTATTGGAGAAATACTCCTTTTTGCTTCATAATTTGCAGAAGGCTGCAACTGTCAGTCATGATGTACTGCCTCTTGAAATTAGTCAATAGAGCAAACAGCAAGAATTGCTGTGGGCAGAAAATAAGCACTGTAATCATGACATAACTGGGGTCAGTGATTTATGGATTTCAATATAGTAGTAGCTGCATATGATTGAAAATTTACTAGGTCACTAGTGCACCAAAAATTTTATTCACAGCCTCCAGGCATCTTTTGAAATGTGCAACAAAATAAAAACCTCTGAACCTGTTTTGACACTGCAGACTCCGTGGATGACATGCCAGCCCAGTGAGTCTCATTTAAATGTAAATGTGTCATACGTAAACTTTTGTACCATACTCTATAAAAAAGCCAGCTACTTGAAAGGGATAATGCATGGGAAACTGATGTACATATCCAAGAAGTAAATAAGGACCTTGTAATAATCAAGCTTGAATTCCTTTGTTTAAAGTTGGAAGCTGAAGCTGTTCCTGAAGTTTCTGAAAAATATGAAATTTGCTCGGTTCCCACCTTTCTGTTTTTCAAGGTAAGGATTAAGGTAGTATAAAGACCAGCCTTCTCTGGTGGTTTGTGGGATGATCTGTTTTGGTTCCTTTACCTCCTGTTAATTTTAGATCACGAGACATGAGGTTGGTCTTGGCCTTTTCTGATAGCCTTATGTTTTGCACTGATGCCGAGAACCATTTTGGTTGCTTACCCCGGTCCCAGGGACAGTGGAGGACCAAATGAAAACTGGAGCTCCTCGGCCAAAATCCAGGCCTCTGGCTGTAGATCCTGGTGCTTCCTGAGTTGGCTGAGAAGTTGGCTCTTCAGGGCATGTGCCTGTTTACTATGAAACATCTGGCTGGTTCCGGTTTGATTAATGATTTTTAGGAAGTGGGAACAAAACGGTGCTTCAGGGCTCCCATGAGGATTACCATAGTTCTCCAAATACCTCATTTATTCCTAATAATGGAATCATCCCAGCTGGTACAGGGGAAATCCTTTTTGTTTTAGGTTAGGCTTTCATCTGGTTTTACTTGGAGATGTCTCTGTGATTTTCCTAATATGTTTTCAGGAGAAGAAGAGAAAATTGTGTGTTTCTAAAATGAGATGCAGTGCAGGTAGTTGGTAATCAGATTTTTCATTTCTCTAATAACAGTGTTGACTTCTTTAAAATTGGCTATAACTATCTACTTGTTATCATTTTAGAGTTTGAAATAAATGATTAAGGAATGCCACAAGTATTCTAAATGACATTTTAAACTTTAGAATTCTCAGAAGATCGACCAATTAGATGGTGCACACGCACCAGAGTTGACCAAAAAAGTTCAGCGCCATGCATCTAGCGGCTCCTTTCCACCCAGTGCTAGTGATCACCGTAAAGAAGACCTTCGCCTCCGCCTGAAGAAGCTAACTCATGCTGCCCCCTGCATGCTATTCATGAAAGGAACTCCTCAGGAACCACGCTGTGGTAAGAAGCTGCTTCTAAGATGATGGAAACATTGTAGGGGGCAGGAGAAATGTGTCGCCATTTCCGTGCATCTTATGCTGTGCTCACATAGTCAGACAGAATAATTTCCTTGTTCTCCTACAAGGAAGTGTGGTTGAGAGTTTGTATTGTCCATTCAGATAAGGATGGACCCTCCAGGGCTCTTAGAAATTACCTAATGCAGGACCTTTGTTTTATAGGTGACATGACTTGCCCAAGGTCATCTGATACCAGAGGTGGAATTCAGTTCCAGCTACTCTGTCTCTGTTAATGGGCCTTTTATCTATGCAGTTTTGCTCTTAACAATTTTTTCTTTTTTGGCACCTTCCTTTTCTTTACTTTGTTCGGATCCAATAATTTAAAAATTTGCAGAATTTTCATAGTGTTCTTGTGACCATCTGGTAATTTTGCCTTCCCTGTTGTCAGTGTGTAATGCTTGTATTATGCACCCAGTGCAGTCATTTTCAGTTGATAGCTACTAGTAATTTAAAGATCCTAATTCTTGGCTTATAGTCATGCTTATTTTCTGTACACATAGATGTTTGTAATTTGGTCCTTAAGTAAGTTTTAGAGTTATTTGACCCCTCTGGTATTGTGTTTATGTTGTTTTCTTTTTTACTGTGCTTACTACAGCAGTATTATGCTGCATAATTGAACACTTAATGCCTTTTGATGATTCTGTTGAGACTCTTAAGAATATTTGTTTCAGCTGCATGGGAGGGAATTTATTAAGGTAGGTGGTAATAAAATTGGGTATGCTATTGATATGATTACTACTTGTCCAGGGTGACTTTATAAAAATAGCCAGGCTCCCAATATAAATTTAATTCTAAGTTCCTTCCTATGTAGTTATCAAATGACACATTAAGTTCTCAACCAGCCAACTTTGAACAACAAAATTTCATGATCAGTTCTGCTGTAAAAGATGAAGAAATGATTTCTTAGTTTTGACTGAAAAATTTCCTGGTCAGAATCTTCCGTACCAGACTGTGATCACTGTTTCGGTATTTTAAAGCTGCTAGAGTTAACTAAAGGAAGCAGTAGACAGTCCCCAGGTGGCATTGTTACTTTATTTTTAATGTTTACCTTCTATCAGACTTGAAAATTCTTTCTGGTACTTTGTGAGCTAGTCTACTAGGAGGTCTTGTCTAGTGGATTTTATTCAGTGCCTTCATTCCAGTGAAATGGAATGGTAAAGTGTGGTAAGCCTGCATGACAGATTGAACAGGGGGAAGACAGTCTTAAGACAGTCCTCTCTTCTTATTGTCCAACAATAGCATTCGTTAGCCTTTTCTAATAACCTAGTGAACTTGACAAGCAACAAAATTGAAGCTTGGAGAAATTCCACTTAGGCAGCAGAGAAGTAGGGGTGTTGGAAAGTACCCTGTCAGTTCCAGCTCAGCCCTACCTCTCTTAGTAATGGGGTTCAACTCTGGTACCTCCTTGTGCAAATCTAGTTCTTTCCGGGGATGATGGGTGAATCTAGTCTTGGAGAGCCTTTTCAGTGCAGATGTTATATAATTATAAACTGAATTTGTAAATTTGTTTTTATTGGCTCTGGGGATTGAACCAGGCCTCAGTTGTCAAAGCAAGTGCTCTCTTACTTGAACCGTGATCTTACTCCTTGGATGCATTTTTTTAAACTAATTTACTGTTAATATAGAGGTGTTGTACAGAGGGATTACACGAGTCGGGTAATGACATTTCCTTCCGTAAAAGGTCTTCTGTTCCCTCATTCTTTCCCGTTTGTCTCCACCTATAAATTGTATAGTTCATTTTCATTCATGTCCAGTGACACTGCTCCACTGCTACATTTTTTTTTTTTGGGTCTGGTCGTTGGGCCTGAACTCTGGGCCTGGGCGCTGTCCATCAGCTCTTCAGCTCAAGGCTAGCACTCTACCACTTGAGCCACAGTGCCACTTCCAGCTTTTTTCTTTTTGTTATGTGGTGCTGAGGAATCGAACTCAGGGCCTCATGCATGCAAGGCAAGCGCTCTACCACTGAGTCACCTTCCCAGCCCCTGCTGCATATTTTCACACTTTTTCCTTGGGTTCTGTATCTTTCCCCCACACTGCCAAAGATAGACACTTGACCTATGATGTATTTTTTTAGCCTTTTTTCTTTTTGGCTGGTCCTCAGCCTGGGTGCTGCCCCTGAGCTTTTGCGCTCAAGGCTAGCTCTCTACCACTCGAGCCACAGCTCCACTCTGCTATTTTTGTGGTTAGAGAGTCTCACAGACTTTCTTGTCCAGGCTGACTTCAAACAGCAATCCTCAGATCTCAGCTTCTTGAGTAGCTAGGATAATGGGTGTGAGCCATCAATGCCCTGCTATTTTTTCCATTAATTCTGTGAGTAATGTTTAGTCTGCATGAATAATCAAGAATAAAAAAAGCAACTTTTAAACATATCAGAGCAAACTGAAAAGCAGGGTATTACAGACATGTGGGTAATAGAAGAAATTATTAGGAAACTAAAGATTTTGATTTAACAGAGCAGTTTCTTCAGGTGCTTGTCTTATTTTTTATACCTTTTATAACTATTTTGAATAGACTTTTCTGCTTCATGATCGTTTAGTTTCTTTTACATGTCTTTCTACCTACATAGAGACTAAATAAGTCACTTTAGGGTATTGATATCTTGAAGTATCTACTAAGGATCATTTGGAAACCATTTCCCTGTCTCTGCTGTGCCCCTTTCTTCCCTGATGCTGCTCTGATGCTGTTTCCCTTTTCTGTGTGCACTGCTGCACAAACGTCACTTACAAGCAGCTTTCTGCAGGGAACATGCCTGCTGCTATGTCTTTTGGAGTTGTTTTTGCTTCTCTGTTGGCATTTGAGAGACGAGTGTAGGCAAGCCCTCTTCCAGAGTTCAGAGTTCAGTTTGAAAGCATGGCTGTCAGGAACACTGCTTTGCTCCCTTGGGGTGTTCATTGTGGACTGAAGTTGTGCTTTGTTTTGGAATTACTGGCCCCTGCCTTTCTGTTGGTCAGAAAAATATGAATGAATAACATTTAAATATCTTGTGTAGGGAACCATGAAAGCTGTTTCCAGAGCCTATGGTGGAACCTGCACAGGCTGCAGCTGCACCTGCTTTATCTTCTGTTTCTGGGATCTGCCTGCAGTCATATAGTATATTATGAGCCTACATATTGAGAGGGTCTTAGACATCAGAGACCTTCACCCTCTTCCATGCTTCTTGAGAATAGGAAAAGAGAAGGTGCTTATGTTTGAGGAAGAGTTTCTAGAAGTGTTGAGGTGTCTGTTTCTCTAAACAGACTGCTTATACAGGTTAGTTATCAGGGAATTCTTGTCACTGTTATAGTTAAAGCTTGTAGCAAAGCAGAAGGTGCCTGCCTGACCACAAGTTTCTCCTGCAGTGAGTAGTCTACCTTGGGTTGACACAGAAAGCATATCAAGTACAGAAATATTCTTACGATATTTATTGCTGTGCCAGTTAGGCTTGTTATTCATGTCATGAGTGGAAATGACTGCAGATAGAAATGGTGATTCTGTCACTTAAACATGATTTTTGTATTTTTAAATGTGTTTATTCATACATGTATTTTCTTCAAGAGTATAAATATTTTGTTGTTAGAAAAAAGCTTTTTTACTACTTTATCCTTAAGCGTAACATTTTCAGTCTGCCACTTTAACCCTTAAAAATGAAACAGTACCAATCAATCTTTCTAGTCTGCATGTAATTGCCTAAAGCTAAACAAACTAAAGCTTTTTCTCAGCCAGTTACAGTAGAAATGAGTTAATATATTGGCAGCAGAATAACCATCAGCAATCACCCGTTAGCTGTTTACTAATGAACTCCCAGATGAATGAGAAAATCTCAGAATCAGTGTTTTACTTCAGGCTGTACATGAACTTAACATTCTAGTTGTAGGAAAAGCAACTTACATGCTAGATAATAAATACCAGGGTCACATTTCACAAATGCCCGTCTATAATGTGTTGTAGATCTGTGCTTAGTAGTAGCTGTAGTTTTGGATGGCTGTAGGTAAAGCCATTGTAGTTAATCTTATGCTGGATTTTATGATTTGATTTAAAAGTAATTGCTGATTTTGTTAAGTCTTAGCTGAATTTTGAATCTGAAGAATAGATTATTTTCCAGTGAGTTATGACTGTGTTTGAGAAGAAGAGTATTTGAAAAATAATTGGCAAAAATTAGCTTAGGGAAAGAAAAATATCCCTTTTTCGGACTAGACTAATAGGTTTATAAAAGACTGATTCACATTGTTATTCTTCGGTACTAATGTCATAATAACAATGTCAAAAGAGTACAGAACAAAAATATGTCAAAAGCATAATAAAATCATAGAACATAAAGTCACTGTAGTATAGTAAAAAAAATTACATTATGTACTTTAGGGGATGTAAATAGTTTTAGAAAAGAAACTGTCAAGTGAAGTCATAGGATGAAAAAGAATACTGTCAGTCTATTGACAGTTCATATGTAACAGTACATTGTAAGGTGCAGTGTACTCTACCTATTTTATGCTGGAGAGAACTCAGTCCTTCAGTTCTAATTCATTCTACGAAGAGGTGGCACAGGTCATATCTTAACTCAGGAATTGGTACATAAGCTGTGGGAACTACACAGTTGGTTTTCAGAGTGGTTGTTGGCAGAGTGTGTATGGGCAGGAAACTCCGGGACACTCATCTTCAGTTAACTTTTCCTAAAAGCTGGGAATGGTAAAGTGCTAGCTCTGTCTGTCTCTTTCTCTAGTGGTAAAGTGCTAGCTTTGAGCTCTCCCTCTCCCTTCTCTCCCCCTGCTCCCCCCCCCCCCTCCCTTTCCCTCCCTATCTCCCCCTCTTCCCCCTGTCCCCCCTCTTTCCCTCTCTCCCTTTTTCCTTCTCTCTTCCTTGCTCTCTCTTCCTCCTTCCTCCTCCTTCCCACTTTCCCCTCTCTCCCCCAAACCTGTGCACAGAAGCTCAGGGACACATCCAAACCAAAAATCCTGTTGTCAAGTGTTTTCTTCCACCCAAGGGCTTCATGCCTCTTTTGGCCAGTAATGTTTGACCTTCTACTATAAACAGGAGTGTTCCTAATAATGAAGAGCAACTTTGATAAACATACACACACATTTTTTTTTAAACTCATAATTAGTTATCTTAACTACATAGGAGGCTAAGATTTGAGGGTCATGGTTCAAAGCAGCCCAGGTAGGAAAGTTTGTGAAACTCTTATCTCTAATCTCTTATCTCTAATAAACTACCAAGAAAGCTGGAAGTGGAGCTGTGGCTCAAGCTAGTAGAATACTAGCCTTGAGCAAAAGAAGCTCAAGAAGGGGCTGGGAAGGTGGCTCAGTGGTAGAGTGCTTGCTTGGCATGCATGAAGCCCTGGGTGTGATACCTCAGCACCACATAAGCAGAAAAAGCTGGAAGTGGCGCTATGGCTCAAGGGGTAGAGCACTATGCTAACCTTGAGCTGAAGAGCTGAGGTACAGCACCCAGGCCCAGAGTTCAGGCCCCACAAATGACAAAAAAAAAAGGCAGCTAGACCCTGGATTCAAGCCTCAGGACTGGGCGTGGGAGGGAAGATGTATTAGGTTATATCTGAACATATACTATCAAATGAAGATTTATTTTTTCTTTACATAGTGTTCGGCTATACTTTATTTATTAATTTTGGTCAGTCATGGGGCTTGAACTTGGCTCGGGCACTGTCTCGTAGCTTTTTTGCTCAGGGCTAGTGCTCTACTAGACACGTGGAGCCATAGCACTATTTCCTGGTGGCTAATTGGAGAGTCTCACGGACTTTCCTGCTCAGGCTGGCTTTGAACCCTGTTATCAGATTTCAGCCTCCTAAATAGCTAGCAATACAGGTGTCAGGGGGTGAGCCTCTGGTGCCTGGCTTCAGCTATACTTGTAAATGACAAAATAGAGGCAAGCCTCTGTTCACTAATGTGTCCTCTGAATTAATTTGTATATGTGTATATAAGAGTTACTATTTTCTTGTTCTGTACACAGGTTTCAGTAAGCAGATCGTGGAAATTCTTCACAAACATAACATTCAGTTTAGCAGTTTTGATATCCTCTCAGATGAAGAAGTTCGGCAAGGGCTCAAAACTTATTCCAATTGGCCTACCTATCCTCAGCTCTATGTTTCCGGAGAGCTCATAGGAGGACTTGATATAATTAAGGTTGGTGTTGAGAAGCCTTTATCTTATAGAGAAATAATATGTTTAAAGCATACTTTTTAAGTGTTTTAAAGTACACATTTCTTGCCGGGCGCCAGTGGCTCACGCCTATAATCCTAGCTACTCATGAGGCTGAGATCTGAGGATCCTGGTTCAAAGCTAGCCTTGGCACAAAAGTCCATGAGACTCTTATCTCCAGTAAACCACTCAGAAAACTGGAAGTGGCGCTGTGGCTCAAGTGGTAGAGTGCTAGCCTTGAGCTGAAGAGCTGAGGGACAGCGCCTAGGCCCAGAGTTCAAGCCCCGTAACTGACCCCCCCCCCCAAAAAAAAATACACATTTCTTATGATTGTACCTTTACCAGTGTAACCCAGAATAAAAACACAGTATTTTGGATTTTTGGACTGTATGCTACATCATGGGATGGTCAAGGTGATTTGTTATAAAATTATTCTTAAACTGACAAGTGTCTGTATTTCAGGAGCTAGAAGCATCTGAAGAACTAGATACAATTTGCCCCAAAGCTCCCAAATTAGAGGAAAGGTAAGTGTTAGTTAAAAAAGATTTTTTTAAATCTTCAGTTTTGTGTTGTTTATTCTAAATGAAGATCAAGGATTTGGTGTTTGCATGTCCTGGGTCATGTTTGTGTGGTTTAGTACATGTAGTTATAGAAATCTGAGAAGGTCTAATTTGGACTAGAAAAATTTTAGCACCAGCCTAATGATTGTGAGGAGAATATTTTTTGCTGTTACAGAAATGTTTCAGTGGATTGACTGCTTTGGTTCTCTGGATTTGGGAGGCAGAATCCCATTGAGTTCTGCTCATTGGCACACGTGTGCTTTCTTGTACTACCTCAAAGGTATTACCTTAGAGCCCTTGAGTTTCACACTTGTGAAAAGCTAATGCTATGTGTATTATGCTTTCCAGCAGCTGTGAGTGCTTCATATTACCTTTTCAAGCCATGGTAATTTAGAATGCATGCAGATTTTGGAAATTTTATATCTTTATTCTTTTTTTTTTTTGTCTGTTGTGGGGCTTGAACTCTGGACCTGAGCGCTGTCCCTCAGCTCTTCAGCTCTTCAGCTCAAGGCGAGCGCTCTACCATTTGAGCTACAGAACCACTTCCGGTTTTCTTGTTTATTGGAGATAAGAGTTTCACGGACTTTGCTGCCAGGGCTGGCTTTGAACCGAGATCCTCAGATCTCAGCTTCCTGAGTAGCTAGGATTACAGGCGTGAGCCACCGGTGCCCCGGCTTCTTTATTCTTATATTCTTATACTCTATATTTTAGTTTTAGGAGAACTTATCTTGTAGAAATTTTGGACTTTGGCATTTATAGAGACTTAGATTTCCCTTGTAATAAATATAAATTAGAGGCTTAAGAAAGAATTCACTTTGACAGTTACCAGCACCTCGGCTATTCATTGTTGGTACTTGGGTTTGTAAGATTAACCTCCCTCTTGTAATTCTCTTGCTATGTAACCTTTTGAGAATTTCCAAAAGTGTTCAATTATTTGTCCATGATAAACTAATTCTTAGAAGTAGCATTCCATGTACATCAGACTGACTTTTGGTACCACCCTTTCCCCAGTGCGTTATACCCTTCCCTGCCTTTTAAATAATGAGAACGTGATGATTCATTTGGACTAAGAAGTCCTTTCCTGTAGTCTGGCTGTGTCCTGTGGGCTCCCTTGGCTTGTAGAGGCTGTGTGGACTCCATGGGCAGCTATGCCTTTGATGTGCCTGGATGTACTATTCATGTACCCTCCTCTGTTGATATCTTTCTACTACTCTGTTTCTTTATCCTCATCTGACCTTTCTAATGTGCTGCTTCTAAATCTGTTCTTGTAGACACTGTAGGACAACTGGTAGTGTTATGTAGAAAGCAGAATTCAATATATTTTTGAGGGCTGGGAAGTTGGCTCAGTGGTAGAAGCGCTTGCCTTGCATGCCTGAGGCCCTAGGTTCTATTCCTCAGCACCACATAAGCAAAAGGAAAAAAGCTGGAAGTGGTGCTGTGGCTCAAGTGGTGGAGCGCTAGCCTTGAGCTGAAGAGCTGAGGGACAGCGCCCAGGCCAGAGTTCAGGCCCCACGACCGGACCACCCCCCCCCCCCCCCCCCAAATAAAAATAAAAAAATATTTTTTTTTTTTGAGCAGTAACTTAATGGGCTCTTAGTGAACAAAGTTTGCGGCTGATGTCCTATGTTTTGAACCGTACAGAGTGGTCTGTGGATCCAGCTGACAGGCTCCTAGTGAGCAGAGTGTATCCTTGTCAGCATAAGGTTGGTCTATGGATCTAGATAGTTGGTTACTTGGATCTGGGCTAGCATCACACTTCTGTGTCTCCTGCTGTTTTTCCAAGAAGGAGCTTATCCTCTTCTGGAAGTGTGCCTTCTCAGGTGCTTAGTTGCATGTACCAACTTTTTTCTATAGGGAGATTTGGAGCTGTGGCTTGTCTGTAGCCATGGAGAGTGAGTAGAAGATGCTGGAACAACCCAGTGTCCCACCCTGACTTTCCTGAGATTTGGTCCAAATGCAGATAGTTAAAATTCCTGACAGAAAGTTAGATTATGCTGTTCAGTGGGTGGTGTAAAATATGGATGAGAATACTGATGTTAGCAGCAAGCTTTAATGGACAGTCTAATACTTTACATTTTTACTCTCTAGGCCTGCCCTGTGAGCATTGTACAGTGCCGTGATGGGAGCAGGGCTTACTGATCTTGCTCAGGAAATTCTGCCTGGGCTCAATATATAGGCCTCCTATTGAACAATTCCTTACTGAATTGGTTATTATTATTTTTTTTTAGTGCTGTGAGTTGATGGGCTTAAATTGCAACTTGAAGGAACATTCGTCGCCTTAAAAGCCATATTGTGTTTTACAGTGGCTTGGGGAGAGAATGAAATAAAGGAAAATGTCAATGCATTTGCTTGTTTAATACCACTCAAAGCTGTGAACTATCTTCCTGCTATCCCTCAAATATGTATGCTACTCATGAAGCGGAGCAAAAGTGGTGTTTAATAATTGAGCTGAGCCATTTCATATCAATTTTCTCTCTTTAGGCTCAAAATGCTGACGAATAAAGCTTCTGTGATGCTCTTTATGAAAGGAAACAAACAGGTAAAAAACTCAAAAATGGTTTTATTTGTAATTTCTTTTGATGTTAACGTCTGCAACAAGGGGACAGTTAAATCTTCTTTTCCTAGCTTTAGCTAGTGAAGCTGTAGTGCTATCAGGAAGTTATCCAGGCCTTAATTGGTGCTTATGGAGATCAAACAAAGTAATCTACATTTTGCTTGGCTTTATCATCAACATCTCAGCAGGGTGCATTTTTCTGTTGCCAAACTTTGTCAGCTAAAGTGGTCAACATGTTTAACCCTTTGCAGTTCTCTAAGTTGCCACTCTATTACTCTTCCTTTGAGTGCAGGACCTATTGCAGAGAACCAGGTAGGGCTCTGGTTCTTGCCCCTAGATCAGCCCAGTGCAAGTGTCCACAGTGGTAAGTAAACCATGGCCACAGTCCACTGGGAGTGTCTGGTGACTGAGGAAAACTGTCATTCATTCTGACTTGTAACAGGATGGTTCTTGTAACTTTTGGATGAAACTTTTTTTTTTTTTTTTGCGGGGGGGAGTCTGGTCATGGGGCCTGAACTCTGGGCCTCGGCACTGTACCTCAGCTCTTCAGCTCAAGGCTAGCACTCTACCACTTGAGTGACAGCACCACTTCCGGCTTTTTTTTTTCTCTGCTTATGTGGTACTGAGGAATGGAACCCAGGGCCTCATGCATGCAAGGCAAGTGCTCTACCACTGAGCTACCTTCCCAGCCCATTATTTGTTTTTTTTTTAAACTTCCAGGGAGGGTGGAAGTGGTAGGGTTCATTGTTGCATTTCCATACATTTACAGTATATTCCAATCAGTCTCATCCCCTTTTGTGTTTTGGTTGTTCATGGGGCTTGAACTCAGGGCCTGGGTGCTATCCATGAGCTCTTTTGCTCAAGGTTAGTGCTCTGCCACTTCGAGCCACAGTGCCACTTCTGGTTTTCTGGTGGTTCATGGAGATAAAGAGTCTCACCGACTTTCCTGCCTGGGCTGACTTGGAACCACAATCCTCAGAGCCTCCTGAATAGCTAGGATTACAGGTGTGAGCCACCAGCACCTGGCTGTCACCCCTTCTCACCATGTTCCTTTCCCAAGCAAATCTTACCATGCTGTTTTCACAGTTTTAAGCAATCTGTTGGAAGTACATTTTGATTTTGGATCATTTTGAATATTTAGTTTGGTAGATCACTTGCACTGATAGTTTGAGCAAAATTATTTTTTGGGTGGAGATTTTAGTGGCAATTTCCAAAGCTAGGCTTATCATTTGTACTGTGCAGTTTTCATGTTAACTTTACTAAGTTCTTTGCTGCTTTTTCAGGTAGGAAAGCAGGACAGAATTTGGGCTCTTTTTGAGGTGAAGCAGATAGAATGAGGATACTTTGTTGTCCTTACCACTCCAAGATTTTTTGGGCATGTAGCTGAACCACCCAGAGCTTCAATTTGTGCTTTTGTAAATAGAGATCAGTAATAATAATTCACAGGTTGTGAGAACCAAGTTATCCTAAATTTGGAAGTAAGTATTACTAAATGAGACTTATTAGTTAATATAACTAGGTAATGTAACCCGTATATGAGTTCTTTCTAACGCATTTATTAAAAACAATTTAGTAGTTTCTAGAAATGACAGGGTGACTTTTGTACAGTGGTTTAGGGAATACTTTTCCTTTTTTCCCCTCAGTATTGTTTTTTTTTTTTTTTTTGCTAAGCATGCGCTCTACCACTTGAGTCATACCTTTAATCCCTGAGTACAGTCTTATTTTTGACATTTCTTTTTTATGAAACCCAGAAAGATTTAGTATATTTTGGAAAGATCAGCACTATTAAAACACTTAAAAGGTTTATGTGGTGTCAGTTTGCTGGGATTTAGAGGTTATGTGGAATGGGAAAAACCAAAAACAGAAAGACCTTTAAGATTTCTAGAACCTCAGAGTTTTGGTGCCCTATACTGCAAAGATAAATTTAAAAAGTGGGGTTAGAATCCACTAGGAAAACATGAAAATAATGATTATCTTAACTATTACAAAAAGATGAAATGAATTATTATTAGTTAGTGTAACTTAAGAAATGACATTGTAGCTGAGCCACTAGTGGCTCACACCTGTAATCCTAGCTACTCAGGAGGCTAAGATCTAAGAATCTTAGATGGTTTAAAGCTAGCCTGGGCAGAAAAGCCTTTGAGATGCTTATCTCCAATAAACTATTCCGAAAAAAACAGAAGTGGTGCTGTGGCTCAAGTAGTAGAGTGCTAGCCTTGAGCAAAATAAGCCCAGGGACAGCACCCTGGCCCTGAGTTCAAGCCTCAGGATTGACAAAAAAGTGACATTGAGTGAGTCTCAGTAGAAGAAACTTAAGGCTTGACTTGGACTTTTTGACCAGTGTTTTATAAGTTTGTGGGTTACGAGTCTGGGTGATGTCCTGGTTGTCCATACAAGAGGTTGGGGGGAGGTGGGTAACAAGGTTGAGCTGAATAGTTACCCTGCAGGCCGACAAGACATGAGAGCTATAGCCATGCCAGTTGGGACATAGAAAAAAATGTAATTTGTTTTTTTGATTTAGGAAGCAAAATGTGGATTCAGCAAACAAATTCTGGAAATACTAAATGGTACTGGGTATGTAACTATTGTTTTCAACTAGTGTATGTAAGACGGTCCAGCTTAAGTTCTACAGTGGATGCTTAGTGTCTGCCTATACATACATACATTTTGTGTGCATTTTGTTCTGATGTTTTGTGAATGTTTTAATCTAATACGTCTGGTTGTTCTTCTCACCATTTATTAAGGACATTACAGGTCAATGTATTGTAGGTTTTAAAATTTTATTTAAAAAAAAAAGTATACTTACTCTATAAACACATAACGAGGCTCATAACCGGATGTGAGAGTCATCAATCATCTTGAGTCACAGTACTCCTGAGTTTGATCTAGATGATGGAGTTTAGAACAACCACATAGGGTCTGGGAATGTGGCTTAGTGGTAGAGTGTCTGCCTAGCATGCATGAAGCCCTGGGTTCAATTCCTCAGAACCACATAAACAGAAAAAGCAGGAAGTAGCTCTGTGGCTCAAGTGGTAGAGTGCTAGCCTTGAGCAAAAGAAGCTCAGGGACAGTGCCCAGCCCGAGTTCAAGTCCCAGGACTGGCAAAACAACTCCCCCAAAAACAACAACAAACTACTTACTTAGAGATACTTAGCTCATGTTTGGATTTTCATCTGCTTTTGCTTATTTCTATTCTTTGTTTCTTGATTTCTTTTTAAATTAAAAGTATTTTCTCTTTGGAGCTTGAACTAGGTTAGCCTGCTCAATGAAGTTATAGATCTTCAAAATATGATAGTACTCTTTTTAGTACAGTTTTGGAGACAGAAAAGCAAAAAACAGTTAATTTCTTCTGCTGACTATGATACTTCAGGAGAAAAGAGATGGCTTACTGGGGTTGTGGCCTCAAGGCCTCTCTTTCACCCATTTGGTGGTGGAAAGGATGCTGGCTTGTTTGTGGTCTTTTTTCCTGGTTCTGGACCTGAGTCTTAAAGTCAGGGCCTAGACACTTGTCCCTGTGTTTTTGTGCTCAAGGCTGGCTGAGATTCTACCACTTGATCCACAGCTCTGCTCTGTTTCTGGATTTTCTTGGTGGTTAATTAGAGATAAGAGTCTCAGGGACTTTGCTGCCCCAGCTGGCTTCAAACCAAGATCCTCAAATCTCAGCCTCTTAGTAGCTGGGATTATAGATGTAAGCCACCCCGACACCTGGCTGTGGTCTTTTTTTTTTTTTTTTTTTTCCTTTAGGGAAAAAAAAGTTCTTTCTTTAAGAAAAACTTGCTAACCTCTGGTCTAGAGAAAAATAGATAGAAATGACTTATTCTGTGTAGTACCAGGCAGATTCCAGATTTAAAAAATACTCCATTGGTTTGCTGTAAATGTTGTTAGCAGTGGTTTCCTTTCACTGTTTTGGAAACAGTGAACAGGTTTTACAATTTTTTGTTTAAAACGGTATTTATTAAAATGTGTTCTCCTTTTTTGTAGTGTGGAATATGAAACATTTGACATTTTGGAGGATGAAGAAGTAAGTTCTGGCTTTTCTGTTTCATTGTTTTAGCTTTAATCTGGGGGTCTAGAGGAAGGTCTCAGGGCTCCTGTGTTTTCTTTAGGTGCGGCAAGGATTAAAAACATTTTCAAACTGGCCGACATACCCTCAGCTGTATGTGAAAGGGGAGCTTGTTGGAGGGTTGGACATTGTAAAGGTAAGGCCTGTGCATCTGCTCCCTTAAAGACGGTCACCTCACATTGAATGGGACCCTCATTCCTCTACCTTCACTCAATCTCTTCTGTCATTCTGCCTGTCTGTGCATACTTCCTGTAGTTCAGACCTTCCTCAGCTCTGAGCTAGTGCTGGCCAGCATTCACCTTCTGCACTGGCTTTCCAGATGACTTGTGGCTGCAGCCAGGCTCATAACCCACTCTGCAGGAAGCCTGCGGGAGCTCACCTCCCTGGTTCCTCCGTGGTGCCTGCCAGTCATCCTGTGCTTTCTCGGCAATGGATTTCCTGGCATAATCTGTAGTTAGGTTATCTGGGCTCCAGGGCCCAACTTTCCTGTACATACATGGATTCTTTTAGCCAGAGCATGTTTGTCCTCCTGAAATTGTGATCCTTGGTTTTTATGTTTCTTTCTCACTTCCTTGTGCCATTGCTTTTCCTCTTTTTTTTTTTTTGGGTCCGGTCGTGGGGCCTGAACTCTGGCCTGGGCGCTGTCCCTCAGCTCAAGGCTAGTGCTCTACCACTTGAGCCACAGTGTCACTTCTGGCTTTTTTTTTCTGCTTATGTGGTGTTGAGGAATCGAACCCAGGGCCTCATGCATGCAAGGCAAGCGCTCTACCACTGAGCCACCTTCCCAGCCCTGCTTTTCCTCTTTCACTTGCACTTGGGTTTGAGGATGAGGAGCTAGAACTCATAGGCAGGAGGCTGGAGTCTCTGCACTTACCTTTACCCTGACCTCGCCTGCTGTGCCATGACAGGGCCAGTGGGGGAGGGTGGGTGGAGCATTACCAGCATTTGAACTTGGAGCTTCTCGCTTGGTGGACAGGTGTTCTACAACTTGAGCCAACTTCTAACCCCTTTTGCTTTGGTTGTTTTTTGAGATAGGGTCTCACAATTTGCCTGGGCTGCTCTGGGTCCCGATACTCCCTCTCTCTTTCCTTCCTCCCCCTGTACCTGGGATGATGTTCACAGCCCTTTCTCTGAGACGGCGGTAGGGAGCTCTCACAAACGCTGTTTTTTGTTTTTTCGTTGCTCTGACTGGCCCAGCGCCAGAGTCGTCGTTGTCTCAGACTCCCATGTGGCTGGGGTGGCAGGCAAGCAGCACTGGCCCAACTATTGGTTGAGATGGGACCTCACACACTTTGCCCAGGCTGCCTGGGAGCTGAGCCTTCCAAGTAGTGAGGCGGCGGTCCTGAGCGTCTGCTTCTGGCAGGGCTCTTGGCGTGTTTAGAGAGAATACTGTTTCTTATGGATTTTTGACTCTTTGGTGCCCTGTGTGTTTTATAATTAAGTAATTGTACAAAGAGGTTTCACTTCAAGTCAGATTATGAGTACAATGCATCTTTTATTTATTTTTATTTTTTTTATTTTTAGTTTGTTGGTTGTGAGGCCTGAACTTGGCCTGGGTGCTGTCCCTCAGCTCTTCAACTCAAGGCTAGTGCTCTGCCACTTGAGCCATAGTGCCACTTCCAGCTTTTTCTGCTTCTGTGGTGCTGAGGAGTCGAACCCAGGGCCTCATGCGTGCGAGGCCAGCGCTCTACCACTGAGCCACCTCCCCAGCCCCACACAGTGCATCTTAATTAGTCTCATCCTCCCATCATTTGCCCTTCTTTTCTAATCCCCAATTGTGGGATTTTTTTTTGTATCAATTGTTTTTTTTTTTAATTTCATTTTTATTGTGAAAATACTGTACAGAGGGGTTATAATTACATGGGCAAGATAATGAGTACATTTCTTTTTTTTTTTTTTTTTGGGTCCGGTCGAGGGGCCTGAACTCTGGGCCTGGGCGCTGTCCCTCAGCTCTTCAGCTCAAGGCTAGCGCTCTACCACTTGAGCCACAGCACCACTTCCGGCTTTTTTCTTTTTGCTTATGTGGTGCTGAGGAATCGAACCCAGGGCCTCAGGCATGCAAGGCAAGCACTTTACCACTGAGCCAACTTCCCAGCCCCAATGAGTACATTTCTTATCAAGCATTGTAGCCTCCTCCTTTGTTTCCCCTTCCCATCCCTTCCCAGCCTTCTCCCGCCCCCCCACCCAATCCTCCCCCCACCCACTCAATCCTCCTCCCCCCTCCCCCTCCAAAGTTGTAAAATTCGTTTCGACATAATGGGATTTTGTTTTTGATTTTGTGCTGGTCCTGAGGCTTGAACTCAGGGCCTTGGGTGCTGTCCCTGAGCTTTTTATGCTCAAGGCTGGCGCTTTACCACTTGAGCCCCAGCTCCATTTCCATTTTTTTTGGTAATTACAAGTCTTGTAGACTTTCCTTCCTTGCCAGGCTTCAAACCACAATCCTCAATCTCAGCCTCCTGAGTAGCTAGGATTACATGTGTGAGATACCAGCACCCAGTCATTGTGGGTATTCATTTTTGTGCCAGTCCTGGGGCTTGAACTCAGGGGCTGGATACTATCCCTGAGATTTTTTGCTCAAAGCTGGTGCTCTACCACTTGAGCCACAGCTTTACTTTTTACTTCAATTGGAGGTGAGAGTCTCACAGACTTTCTTGCCTGGGTTGCTGGAAACCGATCCTCTGGTCTTAGCCTCTTGTATAGGAACAGCTAGGATTACAGGCTTGAGCCACTTGTCCCTTGCTCCTTCACTGTATTTTAAATGAATGTGACACAAAAGGAGAACCCTGCCTGTCAGCTAGCATCTGTGCTAGTCCTCTAACTGGGGGCTTTGGTAGCTTAGAACACTCTTGCCCCACTGTGGCCCACCCTGGCAGCGAAGGAAGTGGCAGGGGTTCAGTGGAGGGACTGAGTAGGAATTCTGGGTCTGACCAGTGTGAATGGAGGTCAGGTTGCTTCTCTAGGGCAGCAAGCTTCCTCTGTCCTTCCTCCTCCTCCTTAGGCCTCCTCCCTCAGGCTTTCAGACCTTCTTCAGACCCTCCTCCTCCCTCAGAACCTTCTCTTCCTCACACTTTCTTCCTTTTCCCTCAGACCTTCCTTAGACCTTCCTGCTCCCCAAGACCTCCTCTTCCTTCCTCGGACTTTCCTCCTGCCTGCTTGGCAGGGCTTCTCAGATCTGATGTGGAAAACAAGAAGTAGCTCTTGGAGTTACATTGTGGAATCAGTTTTCAACACACAGCACTGGGAAGGCGCTTTGCAGAGAGCTGCGGTGATGGCGTGTTTGCACAGTCTCTTGTGTCCTTGACGGTGCAGGCTAACTCGTCGTCCTGCTGCTGTTGCTGCACCCGTACCAGATTTGTTCCCTGTTGTGCTGGGGTTAATGTCACTTGAAACAAACCAGTGAGTCAGTGGTTTCATTCCTAGAGAAAAAGGATGTTTAATACTATTAAAGCTTTTGAATAGCCCTGAAGCATCAAAAATAGATCTGCATTTGTTATTTATAAAAGTATCTTACTTTTGTAAGACACACTGTCTTTCAACCCCAAATTCTCTTGAGCCTGTTTTTGTCTGAATGTTTTATAGTCTGTACCTTGGCCACTGGTAACTCTTGGGAAGATGCAATCAATAAATCTCATTGAATTTGAAAGCTAAGCTGTGTGAGTTCTTAGGTATATAGCAGGGTGTTCGTGTTGCCTGCTTAGAAAACATGTACATTTGGAAATTTTGTGGTATTATTAACTATTTTCCTTGCTAAGATTCCTGGGATTGACTGTTAGGTTGCTGATTGGTTACTTAAGAGACCATTTTTTATGTTGGGTTCAGTTAGAACATGTCCCAGATGAGCTAATTCTGGCTGGCCTCTGGAGCACCGAGTGCATTTTGTTGACTGGATAAATGGGTGGCCATGCTCGTAAGCCTGCGGCCCTGAGAAGAATGCTCCTCACATGTGCTCACTGAGCTCCTCTTTGCTGCGGGGAGGGGCAGTCCATCCAGGCACTGCACTGGGCGTGTGGGCTGGAGCAAGGGGCCATGGAGGACGTGTGGATTAGTCACTGCTGCCTCGTGGCCCGCATGGTGCTGACTGAGCTGCTCCTCGCTGAAGCTCAGGGTGCTGCGTGCCCTGCTTTGGTATGCCTTGTACACCCTCAGCTGCCCCACTCCTAATGCAGAAAGCACAGGTGTGCACAAGTCTCAGAGATGTGTAGCTGTGTGGTGCTCCACAGCTAGTTAGTCCTGGAGTTGGCCTCACCCCTGAACTACACAGGCAACTTGTCTTCAGAAAACCCTCCTGGGTCTATTAGGGCAAGAGGATTTTTTAAAAAAAACCTGGGGTTTGAACTCAGGGCCTCTTACAATCACTTGGCTTTCTTGCTCACTGCTGGTGCTCTCTCTCTTGAGCCATGCCTCCAGTCCTGCTTTTTTGCTGCTTAATTGGAGGTAGAATCTTGTAGACTTCTACATAGGCTGGCTTCAAACTGCAGTCCTCCCTAGTAGCTAGAAACAACCAGGCCCTGGCTGGAAGTCTCCTTTTTAATACAAGGTAGCAGATCTCAAGGTAATGAAGGTTTTGTAATGGCCAGATCATGTCCATTTGCTTTCATTGTGTAGATTTTAGTGGTTCTGCTGGTTGATTTTTATGCTGGTTAGTGATAACAAGGGTCTTAACAAGCAACTCACATTTAGATTTTGTTGTCATGTAGAAACTTTGTTTTACTTGATGGTTTTTACTAGGAAAAATAGGAGTGAAAAGTGGAGAGCCTGTCTGCTTTTGGTTTGGTAGCTCTTCTTAGATTTTTCTGCCTGGGCTGGAAGAAGCTGACCCTCTTGCCTTAGTCCCCCAAATGGTTGGGACCTACAGTACAGGTGTGTATGGCTTTGCCTGGCTGCTTCCCTCGTTTCTCCTTTTCCCCCTCCCCTCTCCTTCCCTCCCTTCTTCCCTCCCTCCTTCCCTTCTTTCTTCTTTCGCCTTCCTTTTCCTTCCCTTTCCTTCCTTTGCACTACTGGAGTTTGAGCTCAGGGCCTTACACTTGCTAGGCTGGTAAGGATACTGCTGAGCTATGCCTCCAGCCCTGTTTTTCACTGGTTGCTTTTGGAATAGGGTCTTGCTTCTGACACTAGCATGCTCCTGAGCCCTACTCTGTCTGTTTTAGGCCTTCTGTAGCGGATGTGCTCACAAGGCTGTGCCACTGCATCCAGCTTCCCTGCTGTGGAGATGAAGTCTCATTGACTTCCGCTAGGGCTGGCCCCCATGTGCCGTCCTGCCCACCTAGTCTTGGCCTTCAGTGTCACTGGGGGTGGCGGACTGCCCAGCTGTGGGATGAGAAGTGATCCTGTGGCCCTTTCTGCCTAGAGTTGCTGCCCTTTCATGCTCAGCTTCCCATGTTGCTGGTGCCTAGCTTACACATATTTGAGGTAGACTCTTGTATTTTGCCCGTGCCAGCTTGGGCTTTGGTCCTCCCATTTTATGATTTCTTGTGTATTTGGGATGACAGGTCCCTAATACCATGCCCATCCATCCATCCATCCATCCATCCATCCATCCATCCATCCATCTACCTACCTACCTACCTACCTACCTACCTACCTACCTACCTACCTACCTACCTATCTATTTTTGTCAGTTTTGGGGCTTGAACTCTGGGCCTGGGTGCTGTCCCTCAGCTCTTCAGCTCAGGGTGAGCGCTCTACCACTTGAGCCACAGCACCACTTCCGGTTTTCTGAGTGGTTTATTGGAGATAAGAGTCTCACGGACTTTCCTGTCCCAGCTGGCTTTGAACCGCAATCCTCAGATCTCAACCCCCTATTAGTTAGGATTACAGGAGTGAGCCACTGGCAGCGCCCAGCCTTTTTTGTCTAGTCTCACAGACATTTTTTCCTTTGCTGGTCTCGAACTGTGAGCCCTGCAAACTCAGCCTCATGTGTGACTGGGGTGACAGGTGTCCTCTGGCTCACCAGCTGCGGATTGAGTTGGAGGTCCCTCATGAACTTTTGCTCAGGTTAGCCTTAAACTGCCATCTTTCTGATTGCTAGGATTACAGGCGTAAACCACTGTCATATGGTTTGTCTTAAATGGCTTCTGGCCTTTATGTTTTCCCTGGCACTTCAGTTTTTCCTGAGCTGTACATGTGTTCCCAGGCTGTGAAGTATTGCAGTATGCCGGGTCCATGAGAGGCAGCAGGAATAGACTGTGATGTTTGTGGAGTACTGTCACCATTGCTTCAATCTTAGCCTTGCATGCCAGTCCCTCTCTCCCTTATTTACTGCTGTAACTTACATAGAGGACTTAAGTTACAGCAATACATTGTCCTGTTTGCGGAAGAAGTCTTGGTTTTAGAATACTGCTTAAAATAGTTTCCAAAGTCTTATAGATTGAGTGTTCCTTCTGGTTTTCAGATATAGATTAGATATGAGCCATGATTGTTTAAAGCCATGATTGTTGAGATGCTTTTTGATATATATGCATATGTTTTTGTTTTTAGGAGCTGAAAGAAAATGGTGAATTGCTGCCTGTACTGAGAGGAGAAAATTAATAAATGTTAAATGCAGTATCCACCTCTTGCAAGAATTATTTAACTACAACGGAGCAGTTTATGATTCAGTCCTCAGAAGTGGACTAAGAATAAAAAAATGCTTCTTACCAAGTTATGCTTTGTGAATTTCACAAGGTTGTGTTAAATAAATGTATGTTACATTTTTTCCACCTAATGAATGCAATAAATATCTTCAAATTGAATGAAAAGTATTATGTGTAAGAAAGTGTTGTTGAATGTGTGATGGCTGTAGTTAACCCTTATAAATTTGTTTCTTAACACGTGGTCCTCTTGCAGCTGTTAATGAAGAATCCTCAGAAAATGGAGAACTGACAGAGCCGGGTGCACAGCAGTCTGCGGCAGCACAGGTCCCAGCCCAATGGCTCCCCTCACTGGCCAAAGATCTCCTTACAGCCTTGGGAAGATTCAGCTGAGACGTGAGCTGGTGTGAGCTGGTCTGAGCTGGGCTGTGGTGAAATTGCGGAGGCAGCACAGGCTGGCTGCCGTTCGGCCTCCTGGCAGAAAGCATGGGGACCACATAGCCGAGCCTCTGCGGAAAAGTGCGTCCACAGGGCAGGTCTCAGCCAGCACTGGATCAGGATGCCCGGAAGGATGGGCAGCCGTGACAGACGGCAGTTTGTCTCGTTAGTTTGTTGTATGCATCACACTTTATGCATTGTAACGGACATCTTGACTTAGCAATAGCTTAGAAACAGATGCCTGCCGAGACTTCTCCGGTGCGGGCTGAGGTCTGCGCTCGCACCCAGTGGTCGCTGTCCTTGTCTGTGTATGTTCAGAAACACAATACAGCCAGCTCTTCTCCCCCAGGCTGCCCCCTGCTGTCACGGTAGAAGCAGGGGGCACACAAGTCTGAAAGTGGCTGTGGCCTGCTTTCTCATGGGGATGAGGAGGCCTGTGACGGGGGTTTGCTGGCCTTCAGGTGTGGATAAAGCTCTTAAGAACTCTTTCCCTTAAAACGAAGCTTTTATAATACAGATGAAAATTAACAGTTAACTCAGATTTTACAGTTTTTGACTTAGATTTGTGTGAATCATGGAGAAATAATGTTTTTGTGAGTTCATTTCAAGATGAAATTGTACATAGCTTTTTATGAGTTTATCTGTTTATGCATCCAGTCTGTCTTGTTTTCTACCTACTCACTTTTAGTTCACCTTGTTTTAACTATCATAGATTTGATAAACTAGTGCATTCAAAATGTGTAACTTTTAATCAGTGTCTGCTTCCAGTCTGGGAAACATTGATGTGGCCAGAGGCCGAGGCGCTGAATCGTAGGAAGGCCGCTGCCCTCTGTTGTATGACTCAGCCTCTGCCGAGGGTCAGGATGGCCGTCAGAGTTGGTGGGGGTGGCCACTGTGTCCTGCATGGAAGTTGGCTTGTACTTTTCATCTCCTCAACTCTACTCTTAGCTCCAAGGTCGTGACGGGTCAGAGGGGTGACAGACACACTTGTAAAAGTGCTGGTGGATAAACTTTGGGACAGCCAAGAGATCTTGAAAGTACAAGTGTCAGATGCACTTGAACTTCCCCTATCAAGTTTCAAATGAGTCTCCAAATGGAATTCTCTTACGTTTTTTAATTCTAGAGAAACTTGTTCCAAGCATTTGAGGAATTCGTTTACTTACAAGATGCTGCTGTTCCTGGGGCTTTAGCTCAGTGCAAGGGCACTCGGCAAGTGCAAGGCCCTGACTTCTGTCCTCAGATCTGGAAAAAGACGCTGGATGTTCACTGCTGCATGCGTCCACTGTGGATTGTTGCATATGCCACACTGTGGCTTGTTTGCTGCATGCGCCATGCATGCTTGTTTGCTGGGGGGTGCAGCTTCCATGTAGGCGCTGTGTAGATAGTGGCCCACTTGGTGTGAATACACTTCAGTGCTGGATGCGGGAGCCATGGAGCGGACTGCGAGCGTCCAACCTTGAAGACCTAAGGAATTGTCTAGACTTGTGTGGCCTTTTGAGAGCAGTGTCCTGAGCTGCCTAGCACAGATGGCACTGGATAGAGGCTCAGGGGAGACCTGGCCCCTCTCCCGCTTGGTCTGCCATGGGAGACCAGCCTCTGCCCACAGGGAGCCCTTCTTAGAAGCCAGAGTGGCCTCAGAAGGACTGTTGATGCCTGGCTGTAGGCTTGGGTCTGCAGCTCCCCCTGCAGAGAAGGGTTCTCGGCTACAGAAATGGCCCTTCACCACAAACCCTCTCTGCTGTGCCTTGCAATAAGAAATGAGTCTACAGAAAGCCAGGGACAGACTGCATAGTTAAGTGGTAAGGAGTTGGGATGGGGCTGGGGCTCCTGTTGGGGACTGTGACCCCCATACCTGCAATGTGCTCTCCCCGGGGTGGTCACCACCTGACGCAGTCAAGTGGCTCTTTGTATGGTCTGAGGGCCGGTTTAGAGACAGCCGCCCTGTAGGAGCGTGTGTGGAAACTTCCTGTGGCCAGCTTACTTCTCCCTCAGGAAGGAAGGGAAAACCTACCCACCACAGGAAGGCTTTAATAAATTAGGAGAGAAAGCTCTCTTGTTTTTGGCCTCTTGTTTTTGTTATTGTTTGGTTGGTCATGGGGCTTCAACTCTGGGCTTGGGCACTGTCCCTCAGCTCTTCAGCTCAAGGCAAGTGCTCTACTGCTTGAGCCACAGCGCCACTTCTGGTTTTCTAGTGGTTTATTGGAGGTAAGAGTCTCATGGATTTTCCTGCCCGGGCTGGCTTTGAACTGTGATTCTCATATCTCAGCCTCTTGAGTAGTTAGGATTACAGGTGTGAGCCACTGGCACCTGTCAACTTTAATTTTGGTGGTCCTGGGACTTAAACTCTGGGCCTAGGCACTGTTCCACTTTGAGCTACAGTGCTGCTTCCCTGTTTTGGCCTCTTGACAGGAACAGGGAAATCCAGTTCTCCAAATAGAGCCCTTCTGTGTGGGCCAGAGCCTGGCTGCTCCCTGCTGCTTCCCTGCCCCCTGCCGGCCACTTCGCACATTGCAGCTGGCAGGGCCAAAGGGAAACTAGGGAGAAGGGCTCTGGGGCTGCCTGTCTTCCCAGCCCCCTCCTGCTCCACCCCCAGGCCAAAGTCATTTCCTGGGAATGGAGTCAGTGCCCCTCTCTCTCTGGACGCCACCTCCCTCTTCCTCGGGGCAGCTGCCCCCCCTCCCCCCAACACCTGCTCTCCCTGCAGTTCTCACCTGTGGGGATATTTTAAATCTGGATTTCCATTCCTGGCTTCCTGGTGAGCAGGAAGCTGGCTCACTAGACACTGAGGCTGTCTCCGCCTGTCTGGACAGTTTGGAAGATGCCAGTTGAGCTGGCTTTACTCACAGGCAGCCTGGGAGCAAGGTTCCAAAGTGAGGAGCTGAGGTTTGAACCCAGGCCCTGCAGCCCTGCTCTGGGAACTGACTGAAGCGCCGTGGGACACCGCACAAGAGATCTCGGTGTGTGCTGCGCTGTAGCTGCCCCTGGGCCTTGGGTTAGGAGGAGCATGGCTGTCCCCAAGATCTGTAACTCGGCGGCTGCACGGCCCCCGCTGTCCCGTCAGGGTCCTCTGGTAGGTGGCGGTCATTCGGTGGGTTGTGGCAGCAGCATGTTTTGTGTGAGGACTTGGGTCCCCACGTGAACTCTAGAGGGAGAACCTGCCCTCGGCTGTGTGTGTGTGTGGGTGGTCGTGGGGGCTTCCGTCTTCCTCCTCATGTCTACCTCCTGCCCAGAGCCCAGCCTGGGGACATTGGCGAAGACCGGAGGTTCGGTGACTCGCAGGAATTAAAGTAGTTTTTATGCTACTGCTCCACGTTTGCCTAAACAAGCCATGATGGCTTAAAGGGAAAGCAGGAGCCTGGCCTGGGTGAGCCCCACCTCCACCCCTTCCGCCTGCGCTTCTGCGGCCTTCACTTGAGGTTTCGGGGAAGATTCCAGGGCGCAAGGCCTCGGTGGGGCGGGTAGGGAGGAAGTCCCGCATGGTTTGGGAGCACGCCGCGGGCTGGCTTGTTTGCTGGTCTTCCTCATGCGGGGAGGGCCGTGTCCTGGCACCATGAGATGCCCCTGACGGGCAAGGTGCCCGTCTTACGGAGGGTCCAGCCAGGATGGCCCTGGCCCCCAGAGCTAGGCTGTTGGCAGGGCGGCCTGCCCCGGCGGCGTCCCTCCGCCGTCCTGTGCGTCCTGAGGCCCTCACAGCAAGCAGGCACACTGCCCCTGGGACCATGACCGGGGAGGCAGTCTGGGCCCGCCCCTCTTGGTGCTTGACAGCTGGGCGGTGGCTGTCCAGCTCTGCTTCCAGACAGGAGCCGGCTGCGCGGTGGGGCCCGCGTGCCCGCGGTGCCAGCTGTGTGCACGGCGGCCCTGGTGTCCACAGAGCGCCCGGGAGCTGATGAATAAAGCGTTTCCTCGCAGTCTCTTGTCGTGCTTGTGAGTGTCTGTGCTGTGTGGGTCAAGAAAATTAAAAATCTCAATCACTGACTTGAACGTTCTCTTTCTTTACAGTGTGTAGCGACAACTGCAAATGCAAGTGAGCTGGTGTGGAGTAGAGTAACCTGTGCACGGGTGGTCTGTGCGTGCATTGCTATCTTGTCACTTGTGCAGGAAGCTGCCTGGCCTGCCGTGTGCCCAGTGCCCTGCCCCTGCGATGAGAGCTGCGGGGCTCTGGGTCCTGGGCCCAGGAGGTGGGCGCATGAGGGTGCAGGTGGGGGCGGCCAGGTGGGACGTGGAGGCTACCTCTACTGGAAGTGCCCCCGGCCAGCATGGCCGCTGGGCTGGCGCCCTCTCTCACCAGTAGGTGTGAGTGTGAGTGTGAGCTCAGGACCCTCCTGGGGCACGGCGAGCACTTCCTGCCCACTGCTGGTGAAGGGCAGTCCCGGGTCACACTAGGAAATGCAGTTCAGAGCTAAGAACTTTGAGGTGGTGGGCAGCACGCACCAGGCCAATGGAGGGTCCGGTTTGAGGCTGTCTGGGAGTGCTGCTCCCTAGTGTGTGGCCTGGACAATGCTTGTGGGGGTTGAGGCTGTGGAGGTCTGGAGATTTCTATAGAAGCAGCCCTTGTTTAACCTGTCTCACACAGCACCTCCCCAAGCCTAACCTAACCTGGGTTCACTGGAGACGCCTGAGCCAGCTGCATGCGTCCCTGGCAGGACATGCTTCCTGTCGCATGATGAGAGCTGCATGCATCCCTGGCAGGACATGCTTCCCTTCACATGCTGAGCCAGCTGCATGCATCC